AACTCTCGTGCACATCTCCCCCCTCCCTTTCTTCTTCTTCTTGTGCCATATCCGTTATCGGACGTTGGCGATCATGTTGGCGATCCTGTTTTTATCAGCAGCCGCACGAAAAAGTGCTGCTGAGTTTTGTCCAAACCAGTCCCTTAGATTTTAAAGCCACGATGTTTATTTATTTATTTTATTTATTTATTCTTCTTCTGCCTGGACCTCCCCAGCATCATCTAACTCAGTGGTTCTCAACCTGTGGGTCGGGACCCCATTTGGGGTCGATTGACCATTTCATGGGGGTCGCCAAGCAAGGCTGTCTGCCATTTTTTTTGTCCGCCATTTTTTTTGTCCGCCATTTTTTTCCCCTTTTCCGGCGGGTGCCTTACCTCCCTTGAGCTGGGCCAGCTGGTGGTCGGCCTGCTCCGTCTCTGCCGCTTGCCAGCTATGCCTCAGCCGGCGCAGGGGGCGGAACCACGCATGCACGGCGCTCCCAGGCAGGGAAAGTCCTCGACTTACGACCGGTTGGGTAGTCCTCGACTTACGACCGGTTTAGTCCTCGACTTACGACCAGTTTAGTCCTCGACTTACGACCGGTTGGGGTTGCGGCATTAAAAAGGTTGAGAACCACTGATCTAACTCTAAAAGCGAAAAGGAGAAAATGGCTACATCTCCATCTGTTGTCAAAGCAAAAACATCCGATGTTAGCAGCGTTGACAGGAACAGGGTCTCCTGCTTGAACAGGGGGCTTGACTAGAAAAGGTCCTTTCCAGCTCTATTCTGATTGATTGATTGACACTGCTCCAACCCCTTTGTGATCCCACCTATTGGGCAAACCCAAGGAATTCAGGAACCAAAGGAAGAGTTGTGCAAACTGAGTGGTTATGTAGCATGCCAAATGTGGCAGCTCTTGCTGATGATGTGGTAACAAGCCAGCATTTCAGGTATAATTTTATATATCTGACAAAGCCAGCTACATTTTTCATTTTCCTGCTCAGTGGCCAAGGAAGAAAAACGTCGACTTGCTTCTCCATCAAAAAAACCCGAAATCAATGTTTACATTTGAATTCTTTTCTTTGTACACCGAATGGGAATAAGATCAGATCTATAAAATAGGATCACGTAATTCAATTAGATGAGATCAAATCATACCATATTTGCCCAGGGACATTTGATTTGTTTGTGTGTGTGTGCTTAGAATGGGTGGATCTGAGCCTGGATTTTGTTGTTATTGTTGCCGCTGGCAAATCTCAGGAAATTGGCACCCGCTGAGTTGGGATAATTTCAAGAACAAATTGCTAAGCTTGTATACTTCAAACAGCCAGACAGGCAAATGATTTTGTTCACTCCCCATGCTAAGTAATAATATGATTAGACTTTAGCTTAGAGCCACATGTGAAACGAACTATTGTGGTTTGTAATTTTATGGCTTTTGGCTGAGCTTCACATGGAAATGCCTTGTTAAGGATACAGGCAGTTCTTGACTTACAACCACAACTGGGAACAAAATTTCTATTGCTAAGCAAGGTGGTTGTTAAAGGACTTATGGCCATTTTTGACTGTGGCAGCATCCCCAGGGTCATGTGATCGAAATTCAGACACTTGGTAACTGACTCCTATTTATGACGGTCGCAGTGTTCTGAGGTCACGTGAACATCTTTTGCAAACTTCTGATTTTACGACCGTTTTTGCTGTTGTGGTTAAGCAAAGCACTGCAGTTGTTATGTGAACCATCCAGCTGTTAAACACATCTGGCTTCTCCCTGTTGATTCTGCTTGTCAGAAGCCTGCTTTCCCCTTTTTCTACAGTGACCACATTTTGTTGGGGGGAAAAAAATCAGGGACAGACCTGAAAAATGGGCAAATCTGAAAAGGGGTTCGTAAGGATTAAAATGTTTTCTCATTCTTAGGATGTTTCTCCTTAATTCCAGGTTGCTTCTCTCCTTGGTTAGTTTCCATCCATTGCTTCTTGTCTTCCCTTCTGGTGCTCTGGAAAATAAGTTGACACTCTCTTCTTTGTGACAACGTCTCAAATACTAGAATACTGCTATCATGTCCCTCCTAGTCCTTTTCTCTAGACTAGCCAAACCCAAATCCTGCAACCGTTCTTCAGATGTTTTAGTCTCCAGGCCATCTTCCTATCTTTATGAATGTTTCATGTATGCTTTTTATGTTTCCAGTTTGTGGCCTGACTCCACCAATGTCCTTGGCGTGTTCTTCGGGGTTGAAGATGGAGAGTTCTTGGACAGACAAGCAAATGGAGAACTTGAGAGAGACGCCTCTTCACTTAGCAGCAAGATACTCTCGCGCAGATGCTGCCCGCAGACTCCTGACAGCTGGAGCTGATGTTAACGCCCGGGACCAGTGGGGACGGACCCCCTTGCACAGTGCCATAGCAGCTGATGCTCTGGGGGTATTCCAGGTCAGAAAAAGAGAAATTAAGATTAATATAATATGAAACAGAAACTGTTGTTATATATACAGATAGTCCTTGACTTAACAATCAGTTGCTTAACGACGGATTGATATTACAATGGAACCCCCAAAAGGTGCTTATGACTTGGTTCTGAGGTTCTGGTGGCTGGACCATGCCCCCTCACGATCACATGACCACATCTCAGGTGCCTGGCAACCAGCTCGCCTTTACCTGACTGTGATTTACAATGTTTTTACCCCAAACTAGAAGGTACTTCCAGTTCTGTGGCAAAAAAAAAACACCCCACGGTGAACTGTGGGGTCGTTTAACGACTGCTGTGGAAAAAGAGTTCCTAAAATTGGGTCAGCCACATGACGATCCACTTTGTGACCATCACGACATACAATTCCAGAGGGCAGACTCCATAATTGTCACAAGTTGAGGACTTACCTATAGCCTACTTCCACAATGAAGTAGCTCTTGAAGAAATCTTGTTTTATCCGTTTCTTGACTTCTTGAAAGATTCTCTAAGTGTTGCTCTTCCTCAGAGATCGTTCTGCAAGCGGGGCTGCAGGGGCAGGGAAAGAGAAAGTCTGTTGCTTTGGGCATGTGCACAGACAATCCTCGACTTACAATATTCATTTAGCAGCTGTTTGAAGTTACAACAGCACTTAAAAAGTGACTTATGACCAGTCCTCACATTTACGACAGCTTCTCCATTGTCACCTGATCGAAATTTGGGGGCTCGGCAACTGGCATGAACTTACAACAGTTGCGACATGCTGGGATCGTGTGAGATCACAATTCTGACCTTCCCAGCCAGCTTCTGACAATAACGGAACAACAGAGTTGGAAGGGACCTTGGAGGTCTTCTAGTTCAACCCCCTGCTCAAGCAGGAGACCCTACACCAGTGGTAGGCAACCTTAGCTCTTTCATGACTCGTGGACTTCAACTCCCAGAATTCCTGAGCCAGCCACGCTGAGGGGAAAGGGAGAGGTTTCCAAGCTGAGCCATGCTGGCTCAGGAATTCTGGGAGTTGAAGTCCACGAGTCATAAAAGAGCCAAGGTTGCCTATCCTTGCTACAAAATCAATGGGAGAAGCTGGACTTGCTTAATATCTGTGTGATTCGCTTAACAACTGCAATGGTTCTCTTTAACCAGCACTGCAAAATGGTCACAAAGTTGGATATGATTCACTTAACAACTGTCTTACTTAGCAATGGAAATTCTGGCCCCCAATTGTGATCGTAAATCAAGGACCACTTGTAATTTGATTACCCCCAGAGAATAAATGCCAAAGTGAATAATTTGCTGAAAATTTCACCGAGAGACTAGCTCCTCATGGGGAGGAGGGGGTTTAAGCAGTAAAACCTCATCGCTCAAACGTTGTAATTTGCTCTCTGCTNAGAAGAAGAAGAAGAAGAAGAAGAAGAAGAAGAAGAAGAAGAAGAAGAAGAAGAAGAAGAAGAAGAAGAAGAAGAAGAAGAAGAAGAAGAAGAAGAAGAAGAAGAAGAAGAAGAAGAAGAAGAAGAAGAAGAAGAAGAAGAAGAAGAAGAAGAAGAAGAAGAAGAAGAAGATGATGATGGAAGGGACCTTGGAGGTCATTTAGTCCAACCCCCTGCTCAGGCAGGAAACCCTGTACCATTTCAGACAAATGGCTGTCCAGTCTCTTCTTAAAAACTTCCAGTGTTGGAGCATTCACAGCTCCTGGAGGCAGGTTGTTCCACTGGTTAATTGTTCTGTCAGGAAGTTTCTCCTTAGTTCTAGGTTGCTTCTCTCCTTGATTAGTTTCCACCTGTTGCTTCTTGTCCTGCCTTCAGGTGCTTTGGAGAATAGCTTGACTCCCTCTTCTTTGTGGCAACCCCTGAGATATTGGAACACTCTTATCATGACACCCTTAGTCCTTCTTTTCGTTAAATTAGACATACCCAATTCCAGCAGCCATTCCTTATATGTTTTAGCCTCCAGTCCCCTAATCATCTTTGTTGCTCTGCTCTGTACTCTTTCTAGAGTCTCAACATCTTTTTGACATCGTGGTGACCAAAACTGGATGCAGTATTCCAAGTGTGGCCTTACCAAGGCATTGTAAAGCGAACTTCAACTCCCAGGATTCCCCAGGAATAGCTGTTTTTAGATGTTGTGGGTGCTTCATCACTGGAGGTTTTAAGAATAGACTGGACAGTCATCTGTCTGAAATGGTATAGGGTCTCCTGCTTGGGCAGGGGGTTGGACTAGATGACCTCCAAGATCCCTTGCAGCTCCCTTCTGATTGGTTGATTGATTGATTGACTGACCAAATTGAGAAACACTGTTCTAAACTGAGGCAGATAGATGGTGCTGATCCCATTCCATGTATGAAAGCTGACTGAAATATTGGAATTTCTCTTCCAATATTCTGCATTACATCTGCAGACAGCAAGCAGATTTTGGGGTTCTGTGGAAATCACGGGATGTAGAGATCTTTTTTTGCAGATTTTTTTGGGGGGGCCTTTGGCCTTCATTGCTCAAGGCAACTGCTCTATTTGAGAACCGTTCTGGCCGTCGTAAAATAAGAATCTTTCTTCTCACTTTCTTTTGCTCTCTCTCCTTACCACCGCAGGCCAACGAAACTCAGTACCGAATTTGTAGAAGATCACGACACCTTCTCCAACCCCCATTTCGACGAGTCTTTGAACCCCAAAGATGTAAAGGTATTTATGCTGGATGAAGAGGTTGTGGGAAACGTCCACGCCACAGGTGTTTTTTTGGGGGGGGGCTTCTCTTTACAATCATGTCTTTTCTGCAGGAGGATCTTGATTCCGTCCGTATCTCAGATCAAGGCCCCGTGAGACCGAAAACACAGACGTTGGGTAATGTCTCGGTCCCAAACCTGAGGAAGGATACCAGGCAAAAAGCAGGCAGAAATCAAGAGCCAGGTAAAAGAAGAAAGCTAATTCAACGGAGCTCAGGGTTGAAATGAGAAGTCCTTGGTGTTCTCCGAGCTTGACTGTTTTGTTCCAGATGTTTCATTACCCAAACTAGGTAACATCATTAGTGCTAATTAAGGAGTGTGGGTTGCTGTCAGTTTATATTCCGGTGTCTTGCCCTGTCGGTGTTGGTGGGGGTGGTCTTAGAGATTCTTTGATTGGGCTGTTTACTGTTAGCTTGTTTGCCAGTTCAACAATCCAAGAAGTAAACAGTACCCCAATCTAGGAACGTGCTGCCTGGAGAATTCTGGGAGTTGAAGTCCACACATCTCAAAATGATCAAGGTTGAGAAATTGTCAAGGAGAGAAGCAACCTGGAGTTAAGGAGAAACTTCCTAACAGTGAGGACAATTAACCAGTGGAACAGCTTTGCCTTCAGAAATCGTGGGTGCTCCATCACTTTTAAGAAAAGACTGGACAGCCACCTGTCTGAAATGGTATTGTCATGGTTCCAACAGATGAAACTCTTCAAAGAACTTCGAGGCATTGTTTTCCTTAAAGAATCTTTATTTGAGAAGCATAATATCGGCACTAACATAATCGAAGCCAAAAACTGAATCCCCCCCCTTTGGGCACATAGTATCAAAGCTCAATTCCCTCCTCCAATTAACAGTCATAAATCACATTCCCCAATTAGTTTGAAGCATGGGCTTTCCCTCCAGCTCTCCAGCCCACCAATTCTTATCATCTCTTATTTCAACAACCTTGATTCTCACACTAGGTTCAGTGTTATTATGTCTAGCTAAACTCTCATGCACATCTCCCCCCTCCCTTTCTTTTTGTGCCATATCCGTTATCGGACGTTGGCGATCATGTTGGCGATCCTGTTTTTATCAGCAGCCGTACGAAAAAGTGCTGCTGAGTTTTGTCCAAACCAGTCCCTTAGATTTTGAAGCCACGATGTTCTTCTTCTGCCTGGACCTCCCCAGCATCATCTAACTCAGCGGTTCTCAACCTATGGGTCGCGACCCCATTTGGGGTCGATCGACCATTTCACGGGGGTCGCTAAGCAAGGCTGTCCGCCATTTTTTTTCCCTTTTCCAGCGGGTGCCTTACCTCCCTTGAGCTGGGCCAGCTGGTGGTCGGCCTGCTCCGTCTCTGCCGCTTGCCAGCTACGCCTCGGCCGGCGCAGTGGGCGGAACCACGCATGCACAGCGCTCCTGGGCAGGGAAAGTCCTCGACTTACGACCGGTTGGGTAGTCCTCAACTTACGACCGGTTTAGTCCTCGACTTACGACTGGTTTAGTCCTCGACTTACGACCGGTTGGGGGTCGCGGCATTAAAAAGGTTGAGAACCACTGATCTAACTCTAAAAGCGAAAAGGAAAAAATGGCTACATCTCCATCTGTTGTCAAAGCAAAAACATCCGATGTTAGCAGCGTTGACAGGAATAGGGTCTCCTGCTTGAACAGGGGGCTTGACTAGAAAACCTCCAAGGTCCTTTCCAGTTCTATTCTGCTTGATTGATTGACACTGCTCAAACCCCTTTGGGCAAACCCATGGAATTCAGGAACCAAAGGAAGAGTTGTGCAAACTGAGTGGTTATGTAGCATGCCAAATGTGGCAGCTCTTGCTGATGATGTGGTAACAAGCCAGCATTTCAGGTAAAATTTTATATATCTGACAAAGCCAGCTACATTTTTTCATTTTCCTGCTCAGTGGCCAAGGAAGAAAAACGTTGACTTGCTTCTCCATCAAAAAACCCCGAAATCAATGTTTACATTTGAATTCTTTTCTTTGTACACCGAATGGGGATAAGATCAGATCTATAAAATAGGATCACCTAGTTCAGTTAGATGAGATCAAATCATACCGTATTTGCCCAGGGACATTTGGTTTGTTTGTGTGTGCTTAGAATGGGTGGATCTGAGCCTGGATTTTGTTGTTATTGTTGCCGCTGGCAAATCTCAGGAAATTGGCACCCGCTGAGTTGGGATAATTTCAAGAACAAATTGCTAAGCTTGTATACTTCAAACAGCCAGACAGGCAAATGATTTTGTTCACTCCCCATGCTAAGTAATAATATGATTAGACTTTAGCTTAGAGCCACATGTGAAACGAACTATTGTGGTTTGTAATTTTATGGCTTTTGGCTGAGCTTCACATGGAAATGCCTTGTTAAGGATACAGGCAATTCTTGACTTACAACTGGGAACAAAATTTCTATTGCTAAGCAAGGTGGTTGTTAAATGACTTATGACCATTTTTCACACTTTTGACTGTGGCAGCATCCCCAGGGTCACGTGATCAAAATTCAGACACTTGGTAATTGACTCCTATTTATGACGGTCGCAGTGTCCTGAGGTCACGTGAACATCTTTTGCAAACTTCTGATTTTACGACCGTTTTTGCTATTGTGATTAAGCAAAGCACTGCAATTGTTGTGTGAAACATCCAGCTGTTAAACACATCTGGCTTCTCCCCGTTGATTCTGCTTGTCAGAAGCCTGCTTTCCCCTTTTTCTACAGTGACCACATTTTGTTGGGAAAAAAAAAATCAGGGACAAACCTGAAAAATGGGCAAATCTGAAAAGGGGTTCGTAAGGATAAAAATGTTTTCTCATTCTTAGGAAGTTTCTCCTTAATTCCAGGTTGCTTCTCTCCTTCGTTAGTTTCCATCCATTGTTTCTTGTCTTCCCTTCTGGTGCTTTAGAAAATAAATTGACCCCCTCCTCTTTGTGACAACCTCTCAAATAGTGGAATACTGCTATCATGTCCCCCCTAGTCCTTCTTTTTTCTAGACTAGCCAAACCCAAATCCTGCAACCATTCTTCATATGTCTCCAGAGGCCATCTTCCTATTTTTATGAATGTTTCATGTGCTGTATGCTTTTTATGTTTCCAGTTTGTGGCCTGACTCCACCAATGTCCTTGGCGTGTTCTTCGGGGTTGAAGATGGAGAGTTCTTGGACAGACAAGCAAATGGAGAACTTGAGAGAGACGCCTCTTCACTTAGCAGCAAGATACTCTCGCGCAGATGCTGCCCGCAGACTCCTGACAGCTGGAGCTGATGTTAACGCCCGGGACCAGTGGGGACGGACCCCCTTGCACAGTGCCATAGCAGCTGATGCTTTGGGGGTATTTCAGGTCAGAAAAAGAGAAATTAAGATTAGTATAATATGAAACAGAAAGAGACTGTTGTTATATATACAGATAGTCCTTGACTTAACAGTCGGTTGCTTAACAACTGATTGAAATTAAAATGGAACCCTCAAACCCTTATGATTTGGCTCTGAGGTTCTGGTGGCTGGACCACGCCCCTCATGATCACATGACCACATCTCAGGTGCCTGCAATCAGCTCGCCTTTACCTGACTGTGATTTACAATGTTTTTACCCCAAACTAGCAGGTACTTCCAGTTCTATGGCAAAAAAAACCACCCCACGGTGAACTGTGGGGTCGTTTAACGACTGCTGTGGAAAAAGAGTTCCTAAAATTGGGTCAGCCACATGACGATCCACTTTGTGACCATCACGACTTACAATTCCAGAGGGCAGACTCCATAATTGTCGCAAGTTGAGGACTTACCTATAGCCTACTTCCACAATGAAGTAGCTCTTGAAGAAATCTTGTTTTATCCGTTTCTTGACTTCTTGAAAGATTCTCTAAGTGTTGCTCTTCCTCAGAGATCGTTCTGCAAGCGGGGCTGCGGGGGCAGGGAAAGAGAAAGTCTGTTGCTTTGGGCATGTATGTATTTTAAATAGATTGTCAGCCGCCCTGAGTCCTACGGGAGAAGGGCGGGATATAAATTCAAATATAAATAAATAAAAAAATGTGCACAGACAATCCTCGACTTACAATATTCATTTAGCAGCTGTTTGAAGCTACAACAGCACTTAAAAAGTGACTTATGACCAGTCCTCACATTTACGACAGCTTCTCCATTGTCACCTGATCGAAATTTGGGGGCTCGGCAACTGGCATGAACTTACAACAGTTGCGACATGCTGGGATCGTGTGAGATCACAATTCTGACCTTCCCAGCCAGCTTCTGACAATAACGGAACAACAGAGTTGGAAGGGACCTTGGAGGTCTTCTAGTTCAACCCCCTGCTCAAGCAGGAGACCCTACACCAGTGGTAGGCAACCTTAGCTCTTTCATGACTCGTGGACTTCAACTCCCAGAATTCCTGAGCCAGCCATGCTGAGGGGAAAGGGAGAGGTTTCCAAGCTGAGCCATGCCGGCTCAGGAATTCTGGGAGTTGAAGTCCACGAGTCATAAAAGAGCCAAGGTTGCCTACTCCTGCTACAAAGTCAATGGGAGAAGCTGGACTTGCTTAATGTCTGTGTGATTCGCTTAACAACTGCAATGGCTCTCTTTAACCAGCACTGCAAAATGGTCACAAAGTTGGATATGATTCACTTAACAACCGTCTTACTTAGCAATGGAAATTCTGGCCCCCAATTGTGATCGTAAATCAAGGACCACTTGTAATTTGATTACCCCCAGAGAATAAATGCCAAAGTGAATAATTTGCTGAAAATTTCACCGAGAGACTAGCTCCTCATGGGGAGGAGGGGGTTTAAGCAGTAAAACCTCATCGCTCAAACGTTGTAATTTGCTCTCTGCTCTTGCATCTCCTGATGGTGAAATGGCCTCCGGCAGATCCTTCTCCGGCAGAGACAGACAGACCTGGATGCTTCGGCAGAGGATGGCACCACCCCTCTCATTCTTGCCACACGGCTTGGGGTCGAAAACATGGTGGAAGAGCTGGTGGCCAACCACGCCGACCTCCATGCCATAGATAAGAGAGGTGAGGTTCGTGCGCGGCTCCAAGATGCTGGCTGAGTTATAACCTGAGGTAGTATTAATGACAACCCTTCCAGGGAACGGTGGTGGAAATGACCAAAGGACTGCAGTTCAGAGATCTGTACATTTCTGACTGAGAAAGGGAAATAAACTTGGAAGAAGCACCAGAGAAACGATGGGGCTATTGATGTTATGATCCAGGAGTCCCCAATCCCCAGGCTGCGGCCCACTACCGGGCCTCAAGCCCTTCAGATCCAGGCCACAGAAGTAGCGGGCGAGTCCACTTGTATGTTCGTGAGCATCCCCACTTGTGTGAGCAGCGGTCAACCACGGGCACGTGTGCTCCATTTGCGGGAACTCACGCAAATGGACCTGCGCACGCCCACTCACTTGCCTGCCACTCATGCAAAACCATCCCTTCTGTTCCCTCCCCCCCCCAAGCTGGTGTGCAAAACCAGGAAGTTGGTGAACTCTGTTCTGATCCACAGAAACCAGTTATTCTCAAATTGCACAGGGGACAGCCACTGTCTTCATGCCCTATGCCAGGGGTAGGCAACCTTGGCTCTTTTATGACTCGTGGACTTCAACTCCCAGAATTCCTGAGCCAGCCATGCTGAGGGGAAAGGGAGAGGTTTCCAAGCTGAGCCATGCCGGCTCAGGAATTCTGGGAGTTGAAGTCCACGAGTCATAAAAGAGCCAAGGTTGCCTACCCCTGGCCTAGCATTATGGCATCTGAAGCCAGAGCCATTTGCAGTGTACCAGATTGAAGGTCTAGCCAACACACATGCTTGGGTAGGAGCTGTGACCTTCCAAGGCCAACCTCTCTGGGGAGACCAAGTTGAGAAAAGCCAGCCTGTAGGGGGCCACCATTTCCCATTATCTATTTATGATACATCAGAATCCAGGGCAGGATTCTAATGTTTCTTAGAATTTCCTAAAGTAATGGAAGGAAGAAAAAAAAAGCCAGAGATGGTTTGCCCACCATTATTGAATGAAGTCCAGTTTCCCCACCCACCATCCTAGAGTCAAATTCTTTGCCTCATCCTTGGATTTCTCCTGTCTCACAGGGAAAAGTGCTCTCCACTGGGCTGCAGCAGTCAACAACCTCCGGGCCACTCTCATTCTGCTCAGGAACGGAGCTGACAAGGACATTCTAGACAATCAGGTAATGCACATTTGATTTCTTTCGGTGGATCCTTCTCTAGAAGGCTGCCGATTCGTGAAAGAAGTGAAACGGATTCCTCAAGCACTAGAACATAAAGGAAATTGCCTTGCATCAAAATATACTACTTAACATTCTTCACACTATTCCAGTGATGGCGAGCCTTTTAGAGGCCAAGTGCCCCAAAACCGCCCCCACCCACCCGCCTGCAGGGCCACCCACTGCCTCCACAGCCCACCGCAGATCCCCCAGGCGGCCCAGCAGCGCCATGGTGGCCACGCCCTCCACCCACACCCCGCAGCATCATCTGCACACGACGGGGCGCAAGGATGGAGTTGGCTTCGCTGCCCGGCTGCCATGTCTTTGGCTGTGCTGCTTTGTGCGGGCCGCACCCGTGGGCAACTCTCCTCCGGGGGGCTGCTGGTGAGGAGGGGGCCATGGGGGTAGGCGGGGCTGGGGTGAAAGCGCGCATGCCCACAGTGAGGGCTCTGAGTGTCCCCTCTGGCACGCGTGCCGTAGGTTCGCCACCACTGTACTATTCCATCCTAGTTGGGAATGATGGAAGTAGTTCCCCCTATCTGGATTGCCACAAAGAGGAGATGACAGGTTTAGCACTAGAAGCAAGTGAAAAGGTTTGAGGCAGAGATGGACCTGTCCAATCCTCCAGTATCTCAGGGGTTGGCTTATGGTGGGATTGCTTGACTTGAAATTTCCAGCGAAAGATAATAGGGCTTTGGGAGACGTAGTTCAGCAAAAGCTGGAGGACTACACGTTCTTTATTCCTGGGCTAACTGGGTTAGCGTGCTCTTTTCCCACAGGTGAACAAATAAAGTTTGGCTATTGAGAACGTTGAGCAAAAGTGCCATGCAATCAAATTGCTTAAACGTGAGGTTTTGTTTATTTGAACCATTGAACAATTCATTTGTTCCCAACCTGGAGGGTTGAAGTCGGGCTTGGTAATGTGAGGACATAGGACACTAACAATGGTCCCAGATCATACAGGCCTCTCTTACTGGTCCTGTTTCACTCTATCTACAGGCCCAGACCCCACTGTTTCTGGCTGCCCGGGAAGGAAGCTATCAAGTGGCGTCTCTTCTTCTGCAACAGGGTGCCAAGCAGAACCTCCAGAACCATATGGGTCGTCTCCCCAAAGATGTGGCACTTGAGCGTCTGCACCACGATATCCTCTCTCTGCTGGACAGGCCCTGCCTTCCTCCTGGGACTGGCCAACTTTCACCACACAGGCCCCGCCCACAGCCTTCATCCAAATTGCACAGATGGCCACACCCACCCAAGGCCTCCCAGCTCACTCCTGTTCCAGAGAACGAGGGACCTTTTAAGGATGCTAGCCCATCAGAAGAGGCCATGGGGCAGACGGTGGAGTGAATCCTTGCCCTCTGCAGGACACTGTGGGTCAGCAATGACAGCCTTGGCCAAGGACATAGCTTTCCCCAGTGAAACTTGCAGGGCAGTGGCTTGGATTGGTGGCGTATCCAAGGGCAGTGTGGAGAAACGAAGGAATTCTAGCAGTGACCTCAAAGAGCTCCAGAGCTGTCACATGTGGGGATGTGATGCAACGTGACTTGGATCCTAAGGTCATCTTACAAAATCCGAAGCATATAGAGTGCAGCTCATCCCACCTTGCTACATCGTCCCCAGAATATATTCCAGATGTGTTGGGTTTCAACTCTTGGAATATGGGCTGGTGGTCCTGGCAGCAGGATTTCAGCCCATCTGGCAAGGAGAATGGAAAAGACCACTATAGGGCCATTGACTTTGAGAGGAAGTCTCTTCAAACTCATTGAGACTTAGTAGGCTGTCTTCAGAGTTGGTCTCTTTGCAGGGAAGGATCGAATAACCTGGCAATTTAGGCTGCTGAGAATTCTAGAAGTTGAAGTCCAACATAAATGGAGGTTCTTCCGCTGGAAAAAGACGACGTAGAATGGAAGTGGATAATCTCAAGCTAGAAGGTTTAATCAAACCTTCCACCACATTTTTTCTGATTTGTTAATTCCACCATGCAAGTCAGCTCACCTTCCACTGAGAACGTGTCAGGGGAACTTGTCTAAAGAATGGAATATTGTTACCAATTATACTCATTGTGCAAAAGTCAAGAAACATGAAGTAAAGTTAACCCCCCCCCAAAAAAAAAACTGAACTCGGTTCCTGGCGATTTCATTTGTTTACAAGATTCCTTAGGTGGAAGTTTTCACCTTAGGTGGGAGTTTCACCTCTGTTTTCACAATAACAACTATTCTTCTTCTTGTTGTTGTGCCATATCCGTTATCGGACGTTGGAGATCATGTTGGCGATTCTGTTTAACAACTATATCATCTCCCAATTTACAAGGCAGGACGCCAACGTCCTTGCAAGCAAACAAGACAGATAGCAAATGCATTTCAGATGTCATATCTGGAATGCATCACTAGAGGGATCACCAGTGAGAAAAAGGAGGTCCTAATCCAGTGATGGCAAACCTTTTAGAGACCGAGTGCCCAAACTGCACCCCAAAACCCATTTATGTATTGTCGGGTGCCATGTGGGTGTGGCCCATTGGCTGGCTGTTGCCAATTGGATGGGTGTGGCCCATTGGCTGGGCGTGGGTGTGGTGGTAACGGCACTGGGTGGGACTAAAAAGTTCAATCAATCAATTCCAACTTTGCGAGATCTTTTTTTTTCCTGCAAGAAGTTGAAATTGATTGATTGAACCTTTTTTTTTTGCACACGGTGGCGGAGGCCCAAAGTGAAAAGGTTTTATAAAACCCAGCTGAAGGCCTAGGACTGGGGCAATGGCGTGCGTGCCCATAGAGAGGGCTCTGAGTGCCACCTGTGGCACGCCACCACGGTCCTAATCCTACTATATAGGGCTTTAGTCGGGTCTATGACAATTTGCCACGGCCAACTCGTTGCAGGACAAAAGTTACACTAATATCAAAAGAATAATGAGAAATAATCATTAAAGAAAGGATGCAAAAGGAAGGACAGGATGAAATGTGAAGGGTAAAAATTAAAATAATTTTTAATTTATTTTAAATAATTAATTAGAATTGTTCAATTGTCCCCCAGTGAATTGTCCCGCGGCAAGTTGGCTGTGGTGAGTTGGCCGCAGTGAGTTGACTGTGGCAAGTTGTCCCATTCCCGCTTTAGGCATCCCTCAAGCGTCCAGTTCTGGAGACCTCGCTTAACAAAAGATATTGATAAGACCGAGTGAGTCCGGAGAAAGACAACAAAAATGGGGCAAGGTCTGACAGACAAAACATAAAAAGAGAGGTTAGAGAAACTGAATATGTACAGCCCGGAGGACAGAAACGAAAGGGGGGGGGGCATGGTGGAAACCTTTAAATATATTAAGGGTGCAAATAAGATTCCAGAAGGCACTGTTTTCAAGATCAAGCAAAAATCAAAGAACACGAGAGCATAACCTCAAACTGACAGGAGGGAAGTTCAAAAGTCATGTTAGGAAGCATTACTTCACAGAAAGAGAAGGGGAAGCTGGGAACCAACTTCCAGCAAAGGTAGCGGGTCGATCGTCAGTAACTGAGTTTAAACATGCTTAGGATAAATACATGTCATCATCTGAAAAAATAAAATAATAAGAACTAAAATAAAAGTAAATATTTTAAAAAAATCAAAAGTAATAAATAAGTTAAAAACAAAACAAAACTCAAAAGAGTTACCCTGTGGTAAGATGATTTGATTAAATAAATAAATAAATAAATAAATAAATAAATAAATAAATGGGCAGATTCAATGGCCCACTAGGTCTTTTTCTGCCGTCCGTTTTCCATGTTTCTATGTTTCAGTGTGGAGATATTGGGCGGGATTTACAGGAGGGAAAATTTACATCCAGCTGTAGGCTCAGCAACACACACACACACGGAGACTTGGGGTATGTTAAAAAAACACACACAAAAACTACAGATTTATTGTGGCAGGAGCCGATACCACTATCAACCTGCTGGCTGTTGACAATGCTGTAAGGCTTTGTTGGGGGGGGGGGGAAGCTGAGCTATGGAAAGTGATGAATTTTTCCTCATTTGCCAAAGGCAGGTCGACCAGCTTTTTCTCCATTTATAAATAGACGTAGGTCCACTCGGCATCTTGTAGCTGCCATTTTAGGCCAACCATGAACTGGCAAAAGGGGTGAGGTGAAAAACAGTAACATTGTTCCGAGTGACAAATTTGAGGATATTCCCGTTTCTCCTCAAAGGAAAAGCACAAGTCACACGGGGCCTTGGAAACGAGAGGGAGAGATTCGGTCACACCAGCCACCAGAAGCGTATGTAGAACAGGAGCACAATGAAGATGAGGCCGGTGGCGGCAGCTTTGGCGTAAGCAGAACGGCTGTTGAGGAGCTTGGCATCGTGGCGATATTTCTTGGAGAGGGTTGACAAGTTGCTGGCTTTCGAGTCCAGAGCTGAAGGAGAGAAGACAAAGAAAACACAATTTGCTTCTGTTGTCCTCCTATTCAACTTTGCCAGGAAAAGCTGCTGGTGTCATGGTTCCGACAGATGAAACTCTTCAAAAGAACTTCGAGGCATTGTTTACCTTAAAGAATCTTTTATTCGAGTAGCATAACATCGGCACTGCATAATCGAAGCCAAAAACTGAATTCCCCCCACTTGGGCACATAGTATCAAAGCACAATTCCCTCCTCCAATTAACAATCATAAATCACATTCCCCAATTAGCTTGAAGCGAGGGCTTCCTCTCCAGCTCGCCAATTCTTTGTCAACTCTGAGTTCAATAACCTTGATTCTTACACTAAGTTTAGTGTTGTTATGTCTAGCTAAACTCTCATTCACATCCCCCGCTCCCAGCATCATCTAACTCTAAAAGCGAAAAAAAAAATATGGCTACATTTCCATCTGTTGTCAATGCAAAAACATCCGATGTTAGCAGCGTTGACAGCTGGTGGCTCCCCATTTCTGGGGGTTGGAGGAGGGGGGAGGGGCAAGGCTCAGAAAGAAGGCCGTTCACGAGCAGTGTCGGCCATTTTGAATGGCCTCCCCAGACAAATTAGACGGGCTTCCCCTCTTTTTTAATAGGAATTTCATTCAAAATTACAATGAAAAAAGATTAAAAACACAGGTGGTCCTCGACTTACAACAGTTTGTTTAGTGACCAGTGTTACAACAACCCTTAAAAAAGTGACTTATGCTGTTTTTCACATTTACAGCTGTTGTAGCATCCCCAAGGTCACGTGATCAAAATTCAGATTCTTGGCAACTGACTCTTATGACCGTTGGTGTGTGTGTTGTGTGTGTGTGTGTGTCCCAATGCTCTTTACCATCCAATCACTGTCTCCATTTCTACTCCTTCAAGATCAAGAGACTTTTCTCCCAGAATCACCTCTCTTCTTAGAGCTACATTATCAAGGTCAAGTAAGGGTCACGTCTGACCACATACACTTCCTGTAGGTCTCCCTTCTGTACCTGATAAGGTCTCCCCTCTTTGAAGGACCTCTTCAATGTTGGTCACCATGATTTTCTGAACGTCCTGGAGCTCCACGTTGATGCTGCTCAGATGGCGCTTTGACCAAGTATCTAGGTAGGATTTTTTCAGCTTCTGGATGTAAATGTCTAACAAGGAAAAATAAGACACGGCATATCTTTGCATTACGGGTATTTTGTTCCATCTAGATCAGCCTTCTGCAACCTGGTACCCCAAACCCACCATGGCCCATGAGATTCCTTATTCAGCTGTGGCCCAACCTTGCATTCCTCTCACCACGAAGAGCAAGACAAAATTTGGTTCTTCTTTTATTTATTTGTTAGACTTTTATACTTCTACAATCCTATATCGATAGAAACAACAATATACGTCAAAGCGGTAAAATTATTTAAACCATTCCAACAGAAGGGAATGTCCTCAGCCCAGGAATGAAGTGTGAAATTCTTGGTGTTTTCTGAGTTTGGTTGTTTGCTTGTGGACATGTCATTACCCAGCAAGGCAACACGATGATGTTAGCTAGTTGGCAAATTGGCTGCCGGTGGCCTTCCGGGTGCGCTTCAAGGTGCTGACCATCATCTTTAAGGCGCTCCATGGCATCGGACCGGGATATCTTCGAGACCGCCTTCTGCCGCAGACTACCTCCCATCGGCCTGTACGCTCCCACAGGGTGGGTCTCCTCAGGGTGCCGTCGGCCAGACAGTGCCAGCTGGCGACCCCAAGGGGGAGGGCCTTCTCTGTGGGAGCTCCCACCCTCTGGAATGAACTACCCCCAGAGATCAGGGTGATCCCTGATCTCCCTTCCTTCCGCCGCGCCCTTAAAACATGGTTATTCCAACTTGCAGGACTGGCCTAGGGGAAAAAATTTTTAATGGGGGTTTTAAAGTAATTTTTAACTACTAGACCAATTATTAATATTTGTTTTTAATTATGTTTTTAATTTGTAGTTTTTTGGTAGTAGCATTTTATCTGGTTGTTAGCCGCCCTGAGTCCGCAAGGAGAAGGGCGGGATATAAATTAAAATAATAATAATAATAATAATAATAATAATAATAATAATAATAATAATAATAATAATAATAATAATAATAATAATAATAAAATTAAATGTCTTCAAGCAAACATCCGAGCTCAGAGCGCACCAAGAACTCCACTGTTTAAGCCATGTTCTGTCAGTTTAACATGAAAATAATATCCCAAGAACAAACCCGTTAATTATTAACTAATTAAATTAGTTAATTAAAGAAACCATAGCACAGGGGTAGGCAACCTTGGCTCTTTTATGACTCGTGGACTTCAACTCCCAGAATTCCTGAGCCAGCATGGCTCAGCTTGGAAACCTCTTCCTTTCCCCTCAGCATGACTGGCTCAGGAATTCTGGGAGTTGAAGTCCACGAGTCATAAAAGAGCCAAGGTTGCCTACCCCTGCTCTAGCAGAACGTCGTTTTGACTTTTGGAAAGCCAGCAAGATGAGGACAATCTGGACCTCCTGTAGAAAGCATATCCACAAAATAAAATCTGCAGCATAGAAGCATCTCTTTCTAGCTGGGGATGCATTAACTGGTAACGACCAACTTACAAGAGATTGTGGGGTGATTAGGAAAGGGACGGGAGAGAGAGAGAGCAGACGTAAACAATCAAGAAATATCAAAAGTTGTGGGTGCTCCATTCCTGGAGGTTTTCAAGAAGAGACTGGAAAACCATTTGTCCAAAATGGTATAGGGCAGGGGTAGGCAACCTTGGCTCTTTTATGACTCGTGGACTTCAACTCCCAGAATTCCTGAGCCAGCATGGCTCAGCTTGGAAACCTCTCCCTTTCCCCTCAGCATGGATGGCTCAGGAATTCTGGGAGTTGAAGTCCACGAGTCTTAAAAGAGTCAAGGTTGCCTACCCCTGGTATAGGGTCTCCTGCATGAGCAGGGGGGTTGACTTGAAGACCTCCAAGGTCCTTTCCACATGTTCTAAGAGACAGGAAGTCAGCCTGATGCTAAGAGACAGGAAGTCAGCCTGATGCTTATATGCTTATAAGTGAATTTCTATCAAAAATGGCAGCCCAGGTGGTGAAAAAACGTGGGAAGAAGCAACACATAACATTTACAGAAATCTTCAATAAAAATAAGTGTGGGAAGTTGCAGAGTCTAAGTTTCTATATTCCCTCCAAATGAGCTATTAAGATTCCCTGACTGAAATGTGCACAGCTCTTCCTTCCTTGGTCTTATCCAACTGCTCAAAGCTTGGCATGGCCTACATTCATGGCGGAGGTGTGGGTTTCAACTCCCAGGATCCCCCCCCCC